CTTACAACCATACCCCCTCGTCTCTATTGCCAACGCAGCGTATGATTTAACGCTTGGCTGCAGTCTGAAGTGAAAACTCGAAAGTTCCAAGCCGAAAATTAATAATTAACTATTATTAGGGCAGCGGCGGAGGGGGAGGAAGTGTACACGTAACAGGACCAGCTGTGACCGACCGCAGGATGTGTGTGTGTGTGTGTGGGGGTAGCTGTGAGCTGCCCACAAAATGCTTTTTGCTTGTAAATTATAATTGTTATTAATTTTTGCCAATTTGCATGATGATAATGATGATGATGATCAATGAATTGCCGCCAACGCACAGGGTCCCGGCTGGTGTTGATTAAAAACTTTCCGAGCGACAAAATCGATGATGAAATTAAGTAAACAATCAATTTGCGCCAGCCAAGAGTGAATGAATGAATGAATGAATGAATGTCGTCTTAGTCCTGGCAGTCGCTAAGCAAACACCCCCCCCCCGGAACCCCTTGGTAGGCCACCCCTGGTGTTGGTATTTACGGGTATAATGAAAGTTGTTCTTGTCGTCCTTCTACCCATACAAGCAAAACACATTTGCCTTTGTTCCGGGGGCCTGGAGAAAGGTAATTCATTTGGTTCGTGGTCCTGTCCCGCTGTTTCTGCTAATAAAACATGCCCTGCACTGAGAAAAACTAAAAATAGTTTTTGGTTTTCTTTATAAACTAGGTATAGAGAAATTTCTAACGCTTTCGTTCAGTGTAAACTGTGTGGACAGCCTGTTGCTGTTAATACAATAAAAATGGCAAACTCATCGCACTTAGCGAGGCCTAAAATATGATGGGGTCCCCACCCCCCTATTGGCAATTGTCAACAGTCATTATGTGGGTCCAAAAAAGTTTGCCTTTGCATCTAAATATATATATAAAATTTTAACGCTGTACGTGTCAAGCAAATAAAGAGGGAAATTTACCAGAAAAATAGTTGAGCCAAGTTGAAATGAGTTTCCTGAAGAAACTTTAGCTAAATAAATGATGAGCTAAAGGTAAAGTTGGTTTAAAGTGTAAGGTTCTTATAGAAACTTCCCTTTAAATATATTATCTTTCCCTACTCCTTGGAAAACTGTCACATTTTATGGTATATTAATCTGAATTATTCCTGCATTCATGTGTAAAAGAAATATCTGATTAATTTTATGTTAGAATATGAACTTAACCCAAGATAAAGCCAGCGTTTCACTGCATAATGTAAGCAAATTTGATTTATACAATTAAAATCTGCCTGCCTCCCAGCTAAAGTCCGTGTGAACTGCGTCAGGCGGGTATATGTTGGATGTGCGCCTAATTATTCATGCATAAATTATATAAATAAATTGTTGACACGAACCAACACTCGGCCTATATATCCAGCCTGTCAACATGCTGCTCGCGGCATTTAAGCCAAATTTAGGGGCGAACAAACTGCTAAAGCTGAGGCTAAGGCGGCGGCTCAGGGCGTGTTCTTTCGGTCTCGTGTAAATAAATTAAGCGGCTTAGGATTGCATGTGTGAGAGGAGCCTTGGAGATTCTTGGCTTGGCTTCTTGTTTGCCGTTTGTCGCGCTCTTTTTGTAATTAAAACACTTGGCGAGCGTTTGTAAAGCGTTTGTAAAAGCATGTATTCCTAATGGAGCCATTTGTGGTGTTAACAGGGACTTGGCAGAGGAACAACATGGCTTAGCTTGTTATAATTATAAAGTCAGCAGCTCCTAACTAGGCTGTTAATTTTTTTTAAATTGTTTGTTTAATTTTAATTATTCTATTATTTAAATATTTCAAGTACAGCCTTTACTGCGGTTTTATCCCCACTCAACAATGTATTTTAAAGGACCTCGTCGCACTGGAAGATCAAGTGGCAGCCAGTCAGCCTGCAGGAAGTGCATGGGAGCCGCCGTTTCGCATAAATTATGCAGTTGTTGCTGGATGCGCATATCGATGGGCATTTTTAATTGAACCACCACGAAACCCGAATAAGGAAAAAATGCAGCCCCTGAGAGCTGCAGCTTGGGCTCGTAAAACGGTTGAAATTTAATTAAATCAATGTGTTGATTTAATTGAAACGCAGTGTCAGTGACAGTGGGCCATCTTATTACGCTTCGTCGGGCAATGCAATTAATTTACATGATAATGCACCTTACCCGCAGCCCACAACTTGGGCTTGGATGAATGATCTTGGTCAGTTTTCGGAGACCTTAAAGGGCAAGTCCTGCGCTATTGTGTGCAGGCTGGAATCTAGCACACATCTACATATCTTTTTAAATATTTACAGGCCTTTCCCTCACAATTGGGGAAATGGCAAAGCCAACTTGCAAAATAGAAAGTGGAAGAAAATGCATGTTGAATGGCTGGAAAAATTTGCCAGAGGTTTTCAGTGACCTTATTTTGTGCAAATAACAAAATAGAGTTCTTCTTTTTCATTTTCAGAAACAAAATATAACAAAAATGGGGTCATAACAGTTTTGTTTAAAAGTATCATGATAAAATATTGAATTTGAAACATAAACCTTTCTAGAACAGAAACATTTTCAATTATTCTTTGTCTTTGAGCCTTCAAAGTCACTATATCCTTTTGTTTTATCCCATTAATCCCAAAGTCAGACAATATGCAATATAGTAAAATATGAACCGGCAAAGCGTTGACAGGCTGTCCATCAAAACTGTCCCTTGTCCCTTGTTCCTTTGGCTGCAATATGTCGAACGGTTTGTCTGTTTGTTTGCCTCTTTGTTGCAGCAACAACAACAACAACGAGAACAGGGACAACTAGACCGGGTCGAAAAGACTCTCCCCCTGCCAGGCAACTATCTGTGATTGTCATGCACTTAGCCAGGCCCGACATAAGCCGACTTTGGCTGGCTGTGTCCTGTCAGCTGTAAATTTACGATTTTCCAGCGAAAGAAAAAAAAAAAAATTGTGGAAAATATAAAGCATAATAAAAAATCTTGATTTCACGTTAAGCTTTGCCAGTGCGGAAAATTTCATTGGCAGTAGTCGTCTCTCCGCTTGGATAATTAATGGAGACCTCCTCAGCTTGACTCTTAAAGCCTTCCGAGCAATGACTGCAAGTCGTTCTGCTTTATTTTCCCTTCCGTTTTCCTTTTAAAATTTTTTTTTATTGCATCTGCATTGTCCTGATGCCCTTTCTCCGCTCTCTCTGCCATATCCCTGGGCGGGGGCGATGGCAAATATTAGACTTAAACTGAACTTTTTTCTAGCTGCCTGCGAGAAGAGCAGTTCGGCAGGAATGGCGGTTACAACAGGCCCTCGGTTCTTTACTTTTCACACCCAGCCTTTTGACATGGCCCTTTCTCCCCAGTCTATTGGTTTAGCAACGCACACTCGGAGTAAAAAGGGAAATTTATATAGGAAAGTGTGCTTAAAAAATGTAAATATATAAAATAATTCAAAGGAGAAAGTCATGTTTACATAGAAAGGGTTTTAAAATATTTTAGAGATATGTATAAGCTTTTTTTTTTATAATATTAATGATTCTTTTTATTATATGTAAGCTCCCTAAGTTTCCCTATTAACTACTAAAATATCTAGTTAATTTCCCAGCAATCCTTGCAGTGCAACTAATACTTATCCTGCCCCAAAATGAGTTTCTGGCCGACGGTTTTAATGCGGTTAAGTGGCCATTTCTGCTATGCTGGCATATTTTGACAGCAAATTGACCGACAAACGTGTATCCTAATGATATGGGAATTCAATTTGGCGCTGGTTAAATTATTCTGCGCTGTCGGTGAAATTAGTCCTGGATTTAATTGAATGAAACAAATGAGTGAGATATTTCCATGGATTCCGCCAAATGATTTGTATTGCGAAAGAGGTAATGGAAATATAATGATGCCATAACTGACGCCTTTCAACGCTCTTTCGAATGAAGACTGACATGCGAGGCGTCCATTTCCGATGCCTTCCCTTGGGAGAACGTAGTCTACACAAACACACTCATAACGTGTATATATACACAATGTCAATCAGCAAATAACAATCTGACAAATGCAAATACCAGAAATTCAAATTGTATGCGATATAATTAATTCAGGGAACAACGGGGGAATGGGGGAATGCATGAAAAGTTTTGTGTTTTCCACTCGCTGTTACAATTTAAATTTTAATTAAATGATAAAACAGCAAAACGTCGCAATCAGAGTGCAAAAGCGTAACTTTAGCAGAGGGATTTCGTTGTTTTTTTGCTCCCCCCACAATCCTGCGGCACAAAGGCATCGCGTAAGTTGAGAACTTAAACCCCTTCCGAAGGATACGACACCTCACGTGACGCATGGCCCACAGAAGTAGTATGTATCCCTTTTGTGTCACCTTACATCGTTTTTCTTCTGCCCAATACTTTTTTCGGCTTCCTTTTTTATTTACCGACTGACGTCAATCGATTGATTTTCGAGTGTGTTCTCCATTTCAAACCGTTCTAGCCCTAATTGCAATTGACCAAAGCCCGACTCGTCATCAATAATACCCAGCTCGTCCCACGTACGCATTTATTATGCAATAATTAATTGTCGCACTCCAGGAATCGGGCTGGCCAGACCCCAAGGCGGTCAAGGTTGACTTCGGGCCAGGGCCCCATATGTTGGCTTTATGCTTTGTTCCCATACTCAATCTGGCTGTCACAGCCTTTCGTGGCCCTTTTGCCACCATAAATGCCCGGGCATATCGTCACATATGTCATTTGTGCTCTGTTTATGGCCCAGTTTTTATTGACATTGATGAGTTCACGGATAGCCAGGGGGGAGAGTAACGAAGCCAGACGCCTTGAACTCACGACAAAAACATTTATTCAAGCTGTAAAGGAATGCTAACTGCACTACGTGTGCCAGGGAGTATATATTAATTGTGTTTATCTGTGTTAATAACCATAAAGCGAGCATTACAATGAAGCATCTAAACATCAATAAACAATAATGGGTTTTTAAATACATATGAAGCTATTTAAGCCATAGTTTCTCTTGTTATAATATATCATTTGAGACTTCTTTTAAGCCTGATTGTTGATCCTCCTCCTGCCCAAAAACACTTCAGCCATCAAAGCGCAAGATCCCAGTGCATAACCGATAAACAGAAGGTAAAATATTATTTTAAAATCTCTGAGTTGCAAAGGAGTACCGCCTGTCTCTGGCGGCAATTGGTTGGGTGAAAAATATTCCCAAATCGATGTGGTTACCCAATGGAGATTCAGACCCACATCCCAGATGTACGAGGCAAAGTCCCGCAGGGCCAAGGCGTAAACGGAGTTCTGCTGCAGTACAGCTCCGTACGACAATCCAGAGACTATATCCAGTTGCGAGGAGCTGCACAGGGCCTTCCGGCTGGAGCGCTTCTGCAGCATCGAGAAGGGATCCTTGGGGTAGGAGTATATCTGATAGGCGTAGCTCGTATTCAGCGTGGCGATCATACGGATTTGCTCAGCGCTATGCACAACCATGACATTCGGCAGCATCTTGGCAAAGAACTCCTGATCCATTTTCTCCCTGATCTTCCACAAGTTGAGAAAGTTGAAGACCACGGTTAAGTTGCTCTCGCGCAGCTGCTGAAAGTTGCGAATGTGATTGTACTGGGGAAACATGGTCATGACAGTGCTATATCGAGCATTCGTTATGGTTGAATTGATGAGCCCTGACAAAGTCATCACCATGATTAGGAGGCCCTTGGCGGATCTGTATCGATTTCCACGGGGAATGGACATTGCCAAAAGGCAGCGCAATATTCGCAGATTTAATACTACACCTAGGAGGTGCACTCTGTTGGAATTTCTCTGAATTATATTGTATAATCTTCGGAAAATAGCCTCTACAGCACTGAGTAGAATGTACGAAGTCAGAAAGGTCAAGGGTGATCCTATTCCGTAGACGAGATAAAGCCGTTCTTCCACCGATAGCTCCTTGCCGCAGGGCACTACGATTGTAAGGGCAGTCATGCCGAGGAAGCAATTGATTCTACTTAGTTCCGGATCTATGAAGTTCATCAGTTGTCCAGTCATGGGCAGATCGATTTCTCCCCGAGCCGTTCCATTCAAGATTTGCCATAGGGGCACGGATTCATTGCCCCTCAAGGGTCTCTGCAGCTGCAAGGTGATATTGTACGTGTGGGCAAAGGTCCTCAGTAGATGATACATGTAGCCAGAGTACCGCTGGCGTCCCGTTCGTTGATCTGTGTGAACATAACTTCGCGGCGGCACCAAGTCGGGCAATGTCAGGGCTTTTTTTCCTTTAAAGTTGAGCCACAGCTTGGGAAAGATTTTCTTCTCCATGAAGGGCTTCTCTAGCACTTGAAAGCTGGGCTGGGGAAATGGATATAGTCTAAGGAAACGTTCAGCTTTTTCTATTATCAAAACACTGAGAAACTTGTGCTCAGCTGCCTGACGTGTAATGATCTCAAGGAGCTTCGTAGTAGCCCTGACCTGCAGCCAAATCACAATTCTGGCCGTTCTCATGTGATTGAAGTTGGCAGCCAGGGCGGAGAGTAAGGAGCTATCCTCAGGTGAGTCCATATAGACCAGGGCCAGAGTCTGCCTACTGTGAAAGTTGACCAACTGGATGCTCTGGGTCTCATCCAAACGAATTGTGGGCCATGCCAGTGGATATAGCTGCTGGAAACGGTCAACGCTGTGCTTTCTTTGCATCAGAAGAAGAGTGGGAATCGATCGTTCTCTGTGCACTGAGTCGAGAAAGTCCTTGAGGAACTGTGGTTGCTCCAAGGAGGCCACTGCCCCACTGCTGACCACAAACCACAGAAGGATGATAAATTTCATCATCACTAGGGAACTTTTGTTATTCAACTGATGTCGCCATTCGGAGGTCCTTTGCCTTTTAAGCCCATATCCTTGCATCTCTCGGTGCTAATGTAATTTAAATCAAAACCTTATATCTAAAGTGCTTTGCATTGAAACCGAACATTACGTGTACGCACTGTGGTCGCTGCGATTTGATATTAAAATTAACATGAATATTAAAATCACATTACTTTTAGAGCCGCGAAAAGCGTCAGGTTGCTTCATATTTAATTACAGGCCGCACATTGTCCCTTCCCCTCCCCCCCTAGGCAGAGGAAACTTTCGAACACATGTTTATGTCCTGCCATACGGTTAGTGCTTTTATTCCGGTTTTGGTTACTTTCCCCATAAAAAACCCACTCGAGCTGAAGCCCCTCAACGACATAATTTACAAAGCGCTTTGGCAGCTGTCTACCTCTGTCTCCTGGATCCTGGCTCCTGGTTGCCGGTCTTCTGTCGCCTTACCGACACTTCCGGTGCCACCATGTTCGACTCTCCTCTGCCCTCTTATCGTTGTATCAGTGTCAGTTCTGTGTTTGCGGCGGAAGGTTCCGGGGAGGAGTGGAGCAGTTGGAGCTTTTCAAGCGCATTTAATGCGCATAATGTCAAATGCAACAAAGCAACAGAACAGAAACAACGAAACGAGACCCCATCACAAAACCACCATGGAGCAGGGGCGATTTGGTTTGGGCAAAGGGCAAGCACACACAGAATATTTTTAAGCAAGCTTAACCACTCGAGTTGAAATAAATTCCTTCATCTGATTAGGACAACTTTGAGGCAAGCTGTTATCTGGCTAATTAGGAAAAGGGTTGGCCATAAATACTTTTAAAGGACTTTCCTCAATGGAGCAAACAAATTACAAAAGGACTTTCATTTGCAGTTTATTTATTGAGATAAACAGCATAGCTTTCAGTTGATTTATACTCAATTTATGGAGCATTTATATATGAAATAAAGTAAGTATTTTAGTGAAATCAAAACAAGGCACTCCTTTAATCTTTAGAAAATAATTTAAATCTTGATTTAATTTATTTTCGCCAGTAATCAAGGATTGGCTTCACTTAAGCATATTTCCACATCATTATTTTTAGAATAGCTAGCAAAAATAATATTTTATTGTGGTTAAAGAACTGTTTTAGGGTTTGATACACTTCTTAATTGTATTTGAATTAATTTTTTAAATTTTTTAAATGTATTATCCTAGCGCAGCAAGTTAACTAGTACAAGTGTGGCACTATTATAATTTCTTAAATTGAAATTTAAAGTCAAAAAAGTCAAAAGTTCCTCACCCAAACCTTTAAAAAATTCCAAATTAATCTCACTTAAAGTTCAGTTGTAAAAATCCTCACTCAACCACTTTTGTCTTACCCAAAACCCCAATCACACTTGGGATTTCAATGCATTTTAAAAAGTTTAATGTGCATTTCCTTCTTTAAAAACCCTGCTTCCCTTAGACTCCTTGTGGAAAACTACATACTTTATTTTTATTTCAGCAGAGTCCCGGCCATTTCAACCATTCCCTATCTCACTTTGAAGAACCCAAAGTGCGCGGCGGCCAAGCCCAAATAAATACTGCGCCCAAACTACTTTTGTCTACAGATAAACTTTTATTGATATAAAAAATTACGCACGTAGAGCAAACAAACGGAAAGTACGGGCACAAAGAGAATTGCTAAGGACAACAATTTTGGAAGGCGGAATCCGGAATCCGGATACGGATACGGATGCGTTCGATTCCTGTATTCACTTTCGGTGGCACACTTGAGTCGCTGGTGTATATCGCAAAGCATTTCTTAGGACAGCAGCACATACCTTTGGCATTTTCCGCGCCAAGGTGCGGCAGGAGGTGTGGTGTTTATGATTTTATGTTTTGTTAGCAGATTTTTATTACAGCTTCGCTGGCATTGTTGCTGTTGGTTGTTGCTGCTGTTGCTGCTGCCAATGAGGCCCAGAGGAAAAGGAAGTGCGCGAGCGCGGCATTGGCCATAAATTCAGGACGAAACTTTCGGCAGCTAACGGAGACGTTTGGAACGAGAGTCCCGTATAAGTTACGGCTCACGGGTCAACTGGCTGGTCACATTTATTTATGCACACACACACACCCGGTGGATCTTCCGAAAAATTTGCACGGAAATTTTATTGCCACTTGTATCATTCGGTGTGAAATTAAATATTTAACTTTAGCCGGCGTAATTTATTATTTTCTTGTTATTGATTTATGCGGTCGAAAAAACTAAGGAAGTTGGTAAATAACAGGTTAGAGCCAAAGGTTATGTTCTTTAAGATTTACGGCGGCTCGTTAAACGGATTTGTTGCTTTATTTTTTATAGATAATTACCACTTTGAAGTATTCACTAATCTCTACTACTAAATATTTACTTTTTCCCTTTGCCGAGTCACCTGATTCAATTTTAATTAGCACTCCAGCGATTTCCGTTACCAAAAAACTCGCTTGAGGAAAATGTCACCGAGGCGACACGACACGACACACTCACAACAACAACACACACTGCAACACTCTCACTCGCTAGCTCGCTCGCTCACTCGTTTGGGGCGGGAGCGAGGGGAAGGAAATCTCTAAAGAAAACTCTGGCTTCGGTGGAAAATCGAGCGTTCGAGGGAAATCACATGTTTCATGTGCAAAGTATAAAAACAAACTGAACGCCGAGCGGCAACTGGCAAGCCGACAAGGCCGACCGACTAACATATTTTCCCAATTGTGTAACGGGGGACCCGATCTCCGACAGTAACAGTAACGGTAACAGAGAGGCCGGTGGATTTTCCGAGAGTTTTGGGAAAGCTCAAAGCTTTGAAGTTGGCCATTATGTTAAGTTAACAGTTAAACAAGAAAAGGGATATGTTAAGGGTTTGTGAGATAAATATTTTTAAAATATCTAAGAGAATTTTCTTTAAATATATTGCTTAGATATTTAACTAAATATTTTTTAATGTAAAAATTGTAGTTTTTTATATTTTATAAAAATAGTTACAGCGACTTATAGAGCATAGATTACAAATATCTTTAATTAATTTAAACGTTGCTTTAAAAAATTGTTGTTTATTTAATAACATATTTGAAATGTAGTTTCTATGTTTTTATGGGTTTTAATAATAATTTGTTTGAAATTTTAGGTGTTTTCTATAAATGTTTATATTATTATTTCATTTTAAATAAACCAAGGGGTTAAGACAGCCAGTTTTTCTACTCGATTCCCACATAATTCGCACTTGTCTTGGGGGGGAAATAGCAATAGAAGTAGATATAGTTATAGACAGACGTACAACCTCAGAGTGCAATTATCGCTAGTTTATGGCTGCGACCTGTCTAGCTGACTGCCGCAGCTTCAGTTCACTTGGAATTGTGGCCAAACTCAGTTGGAGATTCGATTTCTACTTTTGCGGTTCGGCCACAAATCACTTATGGAGCTATAATTAAGTTAACGCCACCCCCAAACAGTAACAAGTGTGTGTGTGGTAACCGCAAATCAAAGTCAATATTGGAAACCTAAATTGTTAACAATAAACAAATAAATAAATGACAAAAACTAAGAGGCATCAAAAACCCCGCTAACAATTATGGAGTTTCTGGCTTCTGTTTTGATTTCTTCTTACCATTATCTCACCAAATATTTGATTTATATTTTGTATTAATAGCATTATTTTATTTTCCTTGCCTATTAACTGGTTAAACCATATTTCTTAGTTCACTAATCGGTTAATAAACTGTTTTTATATAATACTTTACGACCCTAAATACCACAAGACACACAATTATTTATTTTCACAGCCTCTTTCTCTATTAAATCAAACACAACTTATGTGGTGGTATTTAGAAAACAAAACAAAAATAAAAAGAAAACCATAAGAAGGAAAAAGCAAATAGATACTTGGCCCTTAGCCTTAGCTAAGCCAATAAATCAATTCCAACCAAAGTCGGCTCGGCACCCAAGACGTTTAAGGTTGTCCCAGGCATTCCTTGTCTGAATTTCATTACGAATGCCAGGCACAGGGGCACGCAGCTGGATGGCCACTCAAGCCAAACAGTTTGCCAGCCAGGACGTAAGGACACCGGACCAACGTCAAGTGGCCAAGATGGGACACACACAGAGCCAGCTGCCTCCAGTCAAGTCAAGTGGAAAGTGGGTCTGGTCTGGTGACAGGGGGCAAAAGTGTGTTAACATACTAATATTCACTTTGCATCTTAATCGTTGTTGTCCTGGCCAAAGGATGTTATTCCAGGGGAATGGCGATGGGGGGATTGATGGCAATGCCAAGGATGGCGCCATGAATGCTGTGTTGTCCTGCTGTCCTTGTCCTTACACAGGCTATTTCAATTGCTGCCTGTAGTTGATATCATCGTCATCATCATTATTATGCGGTGAAAGTTGTGTTGTTTTGACATTAACGGAAGTAATTGCTGAGCAATTTTGACAGGTATGAATAATTTGGATCTAAAGGATGCGATAGCAAGGGTCTTTAGTGAGTGAATAATATTATATTTAAGCAGGAAATGTTTGGTAGAATTTAATTAAAATCTGATTTTTGATTTCTTAAGAATAGTAATTAAGAAAAATATTTATTTTATCTTTTATCCTTTTTAACATTATACTCTAACGCCATCTGTTGCTCTTTGTAAGAACATAAAAAAAATCTCCAAAAAAGCTTCCTTTTTGATAGAAATAAAAACAGATGCAATGAAAGCTATATAGCCATTAGGCCAGGATGTATTACAATGTCCTTTGCGTTTAGTTTACAGCTGGCAACGCTTAGAAGCTCTCTTTAGCTCTCCGCTTTCGTTACAGCTCTCTCCCTCGAGGGCCTCCTTCTCTCTACTGCTCTGTCTCTTTCTATTCATATTGCCTTCTCTGTCTCTTGAGCTTGAACTGCGAATAACAAGGTGAAAGCATAAGCAGCACGAACACGTGGTTGGAACGGAAATAAGAGAACACGTTAGCCAAAGAGAGGCCTTAACCCAAAGAGAGAGAGAAAAGCGGAAATGAGAGAAGGGATTGAGGGGGGGAAACATGTGCGCCCTAATGCTTCCCTGGCGGGCGTAGCCATTAAACGCATTTGTTTGGCCGCAAATCGCATTCGGTGACATTTCACATGGCATTTCCCTGGCATTTTCCGGAGACCAGACTGGCCTCAGTTGACCTCCGCTGGCCTTATGCTGCTGCTGCTGTTACTGCTGCTGCATTTCCAGCTTCGCCTTTGCCTAATTGGCAATTTCTGTGAAAGCCAGTTGTCGTGGCCGTTAATGTGGTTCGCTCTTCTATTTTTTGCTTGGCTTCCTGTTGATTTCAGATTAATTAATTTAGGACACGCATGGCCTGCAGAATTAATTTAAAAATCTAGCTAATGCTTAAATTCCTTATTCTCGGGACTTGTTGCTCCAACTCCTGGCTATTGTTAGGGTGCGCCCATTAAAGTGCATTAATTTCGTAATGAAACCTTATGACGCAAGGCAACGCGGCGTATACGTAATGCGCGCACTGACGCCCGCCTGAAAGTATGCTGCAAAAACACTTTAAGTATTTTGAGCAGCATTGCGTCTGAATGGGTTTATCCTTGTGGTTATGAAAAGCAAATGGTTTCGGGGGAGGGCGGTGGGGTTTGGGTTGAGATTTCCCATCGGAGTGTGCTTGGAAAATGTTATTAAGCTGTTGAGCTCGGCAACACGCTCTCGATTTATCGAGTTTTGCTCGCAGGGTAAACGCATTGCAAACTAGTTTTTCGAATTGCCAAGTTCATAAATTCGCAAGCAAAGAAATGGCTTTGCTTTATAACCATATGCACAGTGCGGAATCTAATAAATTATGCATATTTGTCGCACAATTTGTACTTGTAATGGGCCCTAAAGTAGAAAAGAGCGTGCGTACTTGTACTATCTTATTAAGCATGAATATTTCATCTTTTGACTCACTTGGCCTAAAGTCTTCCTCTAAGTTTTATGATAAAATTAACAGAGCGCACTGGCATAATTCATAATTTACGAAAAAGACTCGAAATTTGGGTATAAACTTGGGTTTAAGCCATGGTTTAAGACTAGGAGTTACCTATTAGTGTATGTAAAAGAAAATACGAAGTAATATACAAATAATAATTTATTCATTTTCTATTGTATTAATTTTTTAAAATTATTTTTCATTTTCTTTTAGGTGTCTTATATAATATTTCAAAGAAGTCACGCACAAATATATGAATAAATATTACAAATTCTTAGGTTATAAGATCACGTAACCAATTTCCATTTTTAACTTATGCTAAGGTCCCCATACGACTTTTAATGATAAAATAAATTTATTCACTTGATTTATGTGCTAATTAAAGCGGTACTTGCATGAATATATTCAAAATTTGTAGAATACTTATTCTTTGACACGATATTTCTGGCAATACATTTATAAATTCACACAACAACTTTTATTTCCAAAGATATCAAAAGGCTCCAACAGATCTCTGCTGTCAAAAAATAAAAATGCCAAAGGGCCACTCAAGAGCCCATCGCGAGGAGCAGATAAAACCGCACAAAATCCACAGGATGCCAGCTGCTAATTGCAAACGAATCGTTACGCGTTGAACAGACACAGATAGACGAGGCTTACACACATCGAGATTGACAGGACATGCCGGAGTTTTACGGGGTATCCTGCTCCAGCTCCGGCAACCGCACTCACGTAAAACACAATTAGGAGGCACGCACATGGCGGGCAACACACATTTTGCTTTGTTTCAGCTGGCAGCGTGGCATAAACATAACATAAACAATGCGAAAACATTAAACAGAACACAGGACGCATGGCTGGCATAACGAAATGCTTCCACATAGATAATACTTATATGTATATATATACCTGACGCGGAAGACCAGGACCCAAGGGGACGGTTCGTCCTTCGTCCGTGATGATTTGCGGCATTTTTTATGATTGCTTTATGAGTATGTGCGGGGAGGTAAATACCACAAAGAACCCATTTGCAAAATTCGCAAAATTCCTATGAGGAATTTTCGGGGCGAAACAAGAAACAAAGCAAAGGTGTTTCTCTCCCAGATAAGACATAATTGATAGCGTGTGTTCGTCAAGGAGCAACTTCTTCAGGTCCTCACAGAGCCATCAGCCAAGTTTTCGCACGATAAAGCCCAATTTTCCCACATCATATTTTGTATACGTACCGCTGTTAAAGGAGAATATCTTGCCTTAATTTAGACACTTTTACTCACCTGCAAGAAAGAGAAAATAAAGAGTCATATGAGAACACACAGAGGAAAATATTTTAAGGAAATTTAATATATAGATAAATCTCCTGAAATATAAGTTTAACATCTTAGTTATAAGCTTGTATTTATCTTTAAATAAGTCTTGAAAGATAGTCATAAATAAAAGAACAATAACTGCTAAGCTATTCTTTTGCTATTTTTTTTCTCTGCACAAAACTGTGCAGTGGGTGTGACCAGAAACTAAAGCTCTTAATGTTCTTCAATGGCTCTTGATATACGAGCTGGTGCTGGCGGTAGTTGTGGCGTTTCTGTCTCGACTTTTATGGGCCATTGTTAAAGGAATCCTTTTTTATTCCTTTTTGAAGAGGTAAAGCTTTGTGTGCTTATGGCAATAAAATGGTTTAAGCAATAGAGCGACTGGCTGAGTCGTTAAACTCTATCTCGCCATACACTCCCCCCGTTTAGCTTCTGTTCTTCGACGATAATCATTCATTTCAATTACGCGCTCTCACACATCGAACGAGGGGGAATCCATGACTTGGCCAGGCTTAATTAATGGGTATAACTGCCAGGAGCTGACAAGTCAATTACCAGTATGGCTTGCACCCACGGCTCGGTGTAATCACCAATCAAAGAGGTGTCGATCTATACACACCGTGAAAAGAAAGCCGCGCCGAGCATAATTGAGTTATTTAGGCTAATTGGCGCACACACAGGCTAACGATGACGTAAATTGGCAGAACTGCAAGCCCAAAAGCCGCAGAAGTTTGCACAGCCAACACGGTCGGGCCCCCTTCACAATTGTTGACTGAATGTCTTGGCCCATTTCCTCCTGGGAGGTATGGAAGAAGGGAATTCGTATTTCATTCAAAATTTTCCTGCCGAATTTCCGGCTGCCACATCCAACATCCTCAACTAAATTGAATTGCAAGTATGGAAGCCCTTAAATTAAGCAATTGTTGCATTTGCTGGCTTTGTGGCTTCTATGAATTATTTATAAAAAGATTGGGTAAACCAATAAAAGCCCTTAGGACTCAACCTCGTTATCTACATTTTCATTAATTTAGACTTAGCGCCCATAAGCCACCACCACGAGCTCCTCAGTCTCAGTCTTAGTCTCTGTCTCAGCCTCAATATGGCCCATCCCAGCATCGAAATCCCATTATAGCCGTTTGAGGGAGGAGCCCGAAGTGAGAGCAATAATCACAGACAAAACTGGATAACAGGATAATAAAAGTCAAAGTGCTAAAACTAAATTAAACTGCCCTCGAGGTCGCCCTTTCACGCATAAGCGATTTGTGCGTGGGTGTCAAAGTTGATTTAAGATTTTCCCCTCCTGATATTCAACGTTAGAATTTAATGGCAGCGGCACATGCTGCGTATACGCAATGTTCGAGAAGCTGTTCAAATTTCATTTGCCTATATCTACTAAAATTTATGGGAAACAATTATGCATAAATTGCTGTGTGTGTGTTTAGATGAAATGTGCAAATATGGCAAAATGTGGAACATCAGACTGTAATGAGCTTAAATCTGTGATAATATAAAAATAATATGCTAAAAGCTTAAATGGTACTCAAGAGACTTGAATACAAACGGCCATTTGTTTACATAAATCATTCGTTTTATCTGTTCTTTTACATTTTCTAGCTAATTATTAATTTATAATAAATTAAGTAATCGTAAAATTTTTAAGCACACAAATAATAACCATTATTATTGAAAACTCTATATATATTTCAACTCTTTTAAATTCTTAAGATTTCTTCAACTGAAATCAATGTCTGCAATCAATCGATTTTTCAGACGACCTTGATAGATTAGCCGTAATCAGATGGGGCTTATAACGCTTCGTCATGTGTCACGTATTCCCACAGAAAATGAAAAGAAATATTTCCCTTTGTCAGGATAAAAGCAAATATTTATGTAGATTTTTGTGCACGCAATCAGCTTAGGAATACAAGAAGAAAAAAAAAACGCATAAATTCGCCGGAAGGCAGGTCGAAAACAACAACAACAACGGGGATCTAACCACATGTGCCAAATTACAAAAGGACTTCAAATTCACTGTTACAAAAATCTTGTTCTTATAAACAATTTAAGTCTTTCCAATTTAAAAACCTATTTTTATATTAGAAAATGAATATAGCAGAAAACACAATCTATCTATCATAAATTAGTAATTGAGAAATTATCTATCGATGAATATGTATCGACATTTTACCTAGTTATCGGTCTTTACATAATTAATTTACCATTTATTTTATTCTATGTATGTAAGTATTTTATCCATAAATTTACTAATTACTATCGATAAATTCCTTGTATTTCCAACTGTAATCCGCATTTTGAATATTTTTATAGAAATTTCAATCCTAGTATTTCAGCTCAGTGCCGCTTTGACCCGCCGAGAATCCAAATTGAACCCGTCGACACTCACCTCTCATCCAGACGCATGCTGCTCCGACTGATGTCACTCCACACGGACATGGAGCGCGGCCGCTGGAAGATGGACTTGGAGAAGCGCCGGACCGCCGTCGTGGGCGGGGTGGGCGGTTGCTGGGGGGGATAGCCGGCCAGGTCGGGCAGCTCCTCGGTGAAGTTGACATTGCGCGGCAGGCGGTGGTTGAGGGGAGGCGATGCCCCCGAGGGCATCGAATAGCTGCAGGTTTGGTTATCGTCCGACATGCCCAGCGCTGTGTAGCTCACTTGGAGGTTCTGGCTCATTTCCTTTGACAGGGGCTCGGGGATAGGGATATGTGTGCGATTTTTGGCCAGGTAATTCGCTTAGCCCGGGCCTACATCATGTTGGCGGTTTTTCACTTTCACAGTTCACTGGTTCACTATTTTCGGGCCTGTTGCGGTTTATCCCAGAGATTCATCTGCGCCGAAAGCACGTCGCTGACTGAGTGTTTGCAAAATTTGTTTATTGTCCGCCGTCTGCTGTGTGTTTTGTGTACGTACATATATAATGGGTGTTCACGACATATCGGACACTTCATTAAGCACAATCAGGCCAAACAATTGACCATATCTCTTGCTCGTTTGCTCGCTCTGTCCCGTTGTCTTGTCTCTCGGCCACATGGCTGCATGGGGAGGGTAAGTGACAATGATAAATGGTTGACCTACGACCTCTCGCCTATCTCACAGTCTGCTTAATTGGGTGCAGCAAAGATGCAGCACGCAAAAATTTGCAAAGTTTAGAGTTCAAGTGGCACAGATGATCAATCAGACAGCCATTCGATCAGTCAAAGTGTGCTATATATATGTCCATAAGACAGATTTTTGAAAGTTTTAGGGGAATCCTATTTAAGTTATATTTGGAAAATATATATTTTTGCCAAGACAATGTATATTTTGTTATTAAAATTAATATATTTAATAAAGAAACACAATTATAGATTCAAAATTAAATAATACATTAATGAGAACGGCTATAAATGTCACAAATTGTTCAATTTGTTAAGAAGAAAATAATTTATAAAGTAAGATAATTCCATTTAAGAAAAATATTAAAATTTACTATCATAAGGAAAGGGCTCAAATTAAAGCTTTAATAACACAAAAATACACTTCCAAAAGCTAGCCTTTTCCCAACTAGTATCTTTCCCTAACAAAATTTTCATTTACTTTTGCATTTTTCGTAATTAATCAAATGTTTTCATTATGCTTTCCCAAAAGTAAGTCGGCTCTCAAACCCTTATCAAGCCAAAATGAGTCCGAGGCGCGGCGAACAGCGCTGCTCATCAGCATAATGAAAAATAAATTTCAGAAGGAGACACACCCATACGCAGCCCGAAAAAAAAACAGGAAAAGCTGCAGTTTCTACCAGATGACGCAGACGAGAAATGAACAAAATTGAATTGTTTTTTCGCCGAAACACTCCCAACTTCTTTATGCCAAGTCCTTGCTCTCGCTGCAATGTTTTTTTGTACGTTTTATTTTGTTAATTTCATGCTATATAAACAAAGCCTTAATGGTTCAGTTAGTTGGGTTTTACAAATAGTTTTTCAAGCGCTTTTAGCTGGCAAAGTGCGTTCAAAGGCTCTGCGGCAAAGTGCCCTCAAGGCTACACACTAACTTGGCCAACTAAGTGCCACAATTAACAAATGTAAAGGGTGCTAAACTGCGTTGCCCCGCCCACTTCCTCTTGGCCAAAATTCGGGTGGCACACGCGATTTGCCAGAGTTTAGCATAACTAAGACATTAAATTGCCTAGGAGAAAGTCTAGGGCAAAGGCGGGGTTCTTGGGAGGGAACACTATGTGTGTGACACTTGCAAGGTCATGATTACAAATGTATTTCACATAACATACTTTCTGGGTGCGAGCCAAAAGGAAAAGCCAAGAATATTGAGAAAAGTCAACTGGTTCGATGATGGGAAGGGATATTACAGAAGGCATTCGGTCTGTGAGTACTCTAAGCCTTCTGTTGCCATTGAGAAATGGGAAAATATATACTATATGGAACAGAGTAAGTGTCTTTTCATTTATTTTGTTATGTATAAAGCGAAATAAAATAGATTTTAATTGCATCTTGATTGAACTTATACTGCTTGTTAAATGTTAATGTTCTTCTTAAAGAAAAGTGAGATATTGGAAGATTAAAGAGAAGAGATAATACATTTATTAATATATAATAAAGTACTTTTATCTTTAAATTCAAAAAATTTGCTTAGCAAAATTGTACTATACTTTATTTATTATCTCATTAATGTGGTTTAGCAATTAAACTAAAACAAAAACTTCCTTATGACCCCTGAGCACCACTGTTGCCGCTTGCCAATATATATGCACATGCATAGTAAATGCCTGAAAATAGGCTCCTGGTTTTATTAACAGAAGGTGACCGCAGAACAATTCCCTTGCCTGATACGCGACCCACATGAGCAGAGTTCCCGCCTTATCAATTAATGAACTTTCCCACCCCGTGTGTCCGGAGGAAAGGGAGAAAAACAAAAAAAAACAAAAAAATGAAAAAGCGAAACATGTGACAATAGTTCCTTCCTTTTTATATCACGCCGGAGAACATTTATTGTTGGTGCCGAAAGGAAATGTCTTTCAAAATGGCTGACAAACACAACTGATGTAAACATGCGGGAATAGCTGGGAGAGCCTACCCGGGGAGAGCAGAGGGAACAATAAAAACTGTGTTAGCCTAGCATGTGTTGGCCATAAATTAGAGGGGAAAAAACAAAGCAAAGCCCCAGACATGAGCCCATGATACATATGCCGACACAGATCCAGAAGTGAGTTCCTAGCGAGACCAAGGTGCATTCGCTTTTCAGGCGAGGATAATCCCCGGTTGACATTTCGCCCGAGACCATCAAAATGAGCTTATGTGTGTGTGAAATCCTTTACTGAAATCCTTACCCATCGCATCTGAAATGAATATCTACCCCTTCCTAGGGCCAGCTCCTGGTCAAAACTTGTCAGCAGTATCTTACCCTCATCAGCAGCGCTTTGAACTCAATTTTTATACAAAAGCTGACCTTTTCTGGCATTCAAATGGTTCAAGACGGAAGGAAGGTCAGGGAATGGGCCCAAGGGGAAATGCAATAAACGGAAGATGGCCAACTCCATTAAGTATTTACCCAACAAAATGAATATGTAATAAACTTTGACGACATTGTGACCGCAAAGAGGGATGGATAACCATCGATTAGCAAAATAAACTTTTATGTCAAGTCAAGTTATGCGAAAGTTTCTCTAGGCAACATAGTTTATGTTGTTTCAGCTTTGTGATTGATATCTATGGGTATTCCCTTTAAGAAATTAAATGTATTTCTCCTTGAAATCCTTAAACATTTACCCCAATTAAAATTTAGATCCCGAAAAGCGAGAGCCCATTTCTTTTCGTATCCGGAAATTGCTTTCATTTGGTCCATCAACAAACTTTGTTGCCACATTTCTTGGGCTTTTATCTTTTTCGTATAATGTTATAACACTTTTTCCCTAATTTTTGGCCATCGTCCATGGGAAAATTGTGTTTTTCCTTCCGCTTTTCCCCCCCACATTTTTTCTGGGCCCACTCTGCCAAGTTGAAAATTGATTTGTGGCTGCGGAGAAAAAGTTGAACTTTTTGTGGTCGGGAAATTGAATTTTTATTCCGATTCTGCTCCGTCTTTTTCTCTGTTTGCATATCGATATGAGGGGAAAAGTTAGCCAAGTGCCACACACTCGTAAGGTGTGTGTTCACACCTGTCTAAAAGAAAGCTTAAAATTAGCAAGTAAAACAAGTTGATTCCTTTATTCAAAAAGATACTGGCTTCTCAAGACTAAGAGGGTCTTATCCTCTGTTCGTTCGGTTATTGTTATTCGAAATTCAAAGGGAAACTTTTGGCTGGCATAAGGAAAAAGTTGAGGAACAACTTTCACAACTGAATGCACATTTGTATACCAAAGTGGAAAACCGAAGCTGACATCAAGGGTTGAAGCTCGTTTGCAGCTCATGGATAATTCCATTTCTTCAATCTTAAAGCCCAATCTAATTTCCCGGAACTTGGCCAAAAGCGAGAGAGAAAACGGAGAAGAAATCACTTAAACGCCTGTGACCCAACAGATATAAATAATACAAGAAAAGAAATCTCCACAATAAAACGGACAAATAATGTACAAACAAACGATGCCCCCTGCAGTGTGGGCGTCTGTCCAGATTCCCCGAGAAAAAAATCCAGTGCCAAGAAATAAAACAAGAGGATATATGGGATGAGTTAATAAAGCGTGATAAGTTGTCCCTGTAATACATTGAGCTCAGGCAAACACAGCCGAAAATCGAGTCAGTGTCTCGGGCAGCCATGCAATTTTTTTTCCCCGACGCAACCGTCATCACTTATCCGATACATCAAGATGCTCCGAGGAACCCAAAAACACACACAACAAATGTCAACCACAAATGCTAAGGGCAAAAGTTAAGTTGTACCAGAAAAAGATTGGATTATTCTAGCTTATTTTTGGTTGTGTCCTGAGTCCTGGGAGTTATAAGTCAGAACGAGGATGTGACTTTTGTCTATTTAAAATTTTAAATAAATACAAATAATTCCGTTTTGCATATGAATTATACAGAGCTTTAGCTTTCTCTATTTAAATATTTGAATAAATATTATTTCTAAAGCAAAGCTGAACAATTTTAGCATTTAAATTTCTTGAATAAACAAAATTAGCATGATTATCTTTGCTGCTGATTTACCACAAACACAACACACACACACACACAAGTTCCCATTAAATGGTTAAATGTCCGGCAATCCCAAAATGTCATCTAAACGGTCACAACAACAACAACAGCACAACAGCAAAAACACTCACTGAACCCTGAACTTTGCCTCATTAGTCAATTATTCGAGTGGCGAGCCTGGCCATGTCATCCACTGAGGGATTGACAGAGTGCCAAGTAAATGAAAAAGTCATCAATCTAAATGTGGGGACACCATGGGAATCGTCATCGGGATAACTTGAATGCCACAAGCGGAAATTGGACAACTCGAATTAATCTCAGTAGCGCCTTCTAAGTTCGGAAATTAGTTAAACTGAAGGCTTTCCCTGGCGAAATCATAGATACTTTCGGTGTGAGTTTGCCTCGGAGTTATTCATTTGGAATGCAGGACAATGGCTGCACACATATAGTATATTCTATATACTTGAGACGAAAAGTATGTAAGTGTTGTATGTTTGATATTCTCGCCTCTCATTTTACTTTGTCTTTTATGTTTTCTTTGTGGGCCACAAT